GTGGACTTCAGTATGTAAGGTGTTAGATTCTTTGCAGAGCAAATGAAGTTTTGAACTGATTATGCTGCTGCAGATGGCTAGAACTGTTTGACTTCAGGCACGCAAACTTTGAATGCAGGGGTCCAGGTCCATTGCTGCTGTAGTATGAGAATGGTCTACAGGGCCCCAAGCTCTAAATTCTCATGACCCAAATTATCCTCCCTCTGGCTCCAATACAGTGTTTGTATGCTTGTGTGTATTAGGTGAAGCTGCTGCTCTCCCTTGCTGTGCTGAACAGGCAATTTGGCAGCAACCTTTATTCTTACCTGTATTTCTGCACACAGTCTTGCAGTGTTTGCCCACACACAATGTTACTTTTCTGGCAGAAGTAATGTGGCCACAAAGTCATCTGACTGGAACTGCAATTATATGCTAATTTAAGGTTTTCAACCATTAAATGCCTGTAGTATTTCTCCCTATTTTGATATATTCCTTTACAATGAAAGTATCTGTGTAAATTAAGCTAGATTTATGAGAAAATATGTCCCTGGAGTTAATTATCTCTTTTTTTTCTGCCCCCTTCTTTGCTTCACTCTCCCATCCCGAAGACACAGTCCTTTCCTAGTACCTGATATGTACTTTGTATCCAGCTACACACTGCAAGTATGGTAAGGAAACACAACCCAGAGCATAATCCTTCACCTTTCCTCCCCACAGATCTGACAGCACACGAGCCTTGCTACAGCTCTCACAAACAGAAAACGGGTTGGGTGTTCCCACCTGCCCCCTTTTGAATTGCATCAATTCTCATTATGAGCCAGAAAGAAGAAGAAATGGAGGATAGCTCCGCGCCACTCTGTGTCACCTGCGGCCAAGCGCATTTACCGGAAGAAAACCACTTGTACAGCTACACCGAAGAAGTCGATGATGATCTGATATGCCACATTTGCCTGCAACCTTTGCTTCAGCCATTAGACACGCTCTGTGGTCACACCTTCTGCGCAGCCTGCCTTACAAACTTCCTTGTGGAAAAAGACTTCTGTCCCATGGACCGCAAGCTTGTGATTCTCCAGACGTGCAGGAAGTCCAGCATACTAGTGAATAACCTCCTGGACAAGCTAATGGTTAGCTGCCCTTTCACAGAACACTGCTCAGAGGTTGTACAACGTGGTCACCTTGAACAGCATTTCCAAACCCAGTAAGTTGTTGTTGACAGACGTTTTTTCACTCCTTTTTTTGAGCAGAGGAAAAGATATCTTCAATTAATACTGGTCAAAATAGACAGTTAATGTAAAGAAAGAGTTGTTTATTTCACTCCCAATGAACACAGCATCATTAATTTTGAGCTGAATTTAGTCCATTCATAGTCCAAGGCATAGGCTATATCTTACTTTTTTTAGAATCAAATGCATTAGTGCATGTAAGGTACTTCATGCTATTGTTAGCAGTTCTGGGTGAATACTTTGTGGTTAGCTGCACAATAACAATGTGTATGTAGTCCAAAGTGATCTGCATGTTTTGGGAAGCTGAACTATTATAAATATTTTAATAGCACATTAAAGGTTTTATAATTGCCCTTTCTTCAAACATTTTTTGAATCACAAATGACCTATATGAGAAGTAGAGCAGAAAATATTCCAGTTTGGTATTGGTCTTTGAACCTGAGTGCTCCCTTTTTCCAGGTGAGCACTTACCCAGGGCACCATGGGGCTCGCAGAGAGCCAGAGTCTGGAAATCTGGCTGGAATCCCTCTCCAGCCTTATACCTCCTGAGGTAGCCAGGAGCCCCTCAATCCTGCCTCTGGGAGAGACCTCTCCAGGGAGTGGTTTGGTTCCCCTGCAATGAGAGAATGGAATGATTCTCTCTTTTGCAGAGTAAAAGTATGTGCTGCTGCTTTTGTCTTGCATGTTCTGCCTTTTGTAAGGAAGGCAGAAAGGTAAAGAGGTACTTTCAGGGCTGTGATTTCTGATAGCATACTAACACTTTGGCATAGTCTGCATAACAGCACCTCAGGCCTGAGGAGAGATGGGATCATCTAAGATGTGCCCTTTTCTGTGAGCTGTATCTATTACCCAGTGAAATTAATTCCCCTGAAGTTTGCAGGTGTAAATCATGGTGCTAGGTGTGTACTTCTGCATGTGCAACATGAAGGAAGCCTTGAGCAGCCAGTGTAGGGCTCCAGACTGTCCTGTGCAGACATGGCAGTCCTGAGAACCAGCATGGCTGGTGAGCCCGAGGGTGGAGGTGTTCTCACAGAGTGCACGCTTCACAGCCTGCGAGCCCACCACCAGAAACAGCTCTGCAGCCTGCTCTTCAACGTGTCCTATTTGCACTGGAGACATCATTTCCTGAAGCACCTGGATTCCCAGTAGGAACTTACTCACTTGAAGATATTCACTGAGTTATGGTATCCTAACCAACCAAAAATATGATGATTTTGCAGTACCAAAACCAAAAAAAACCCCACAAACTTTAGCAATGGGTTTATTAATCCCTTGCAAAGGTCATGAGACCATTTTTTACTTGCTGGAGTTTTGGTGTTTGTGCATTTGGGTGCCCTTGTCCCCACATTTCTGGACCTGGCTTTCCCTGTGAAGGGTGCTTGTGGCTCATGGTGCAAGAGGCAGTGGCAGCCCAGGCCAGCAGTGCTCTGGGAGTTCCACTGTGTGTGGCTAAGGGGACAAAATAACAGAGTTACTCATAATTTTATGTCTTAGGTCAGTACTTCTCTAACAGGCCTCAAATGTTAATTTCAACAGAAATGCAGGTAAGGGGACCATCAGTCTTCTGTGAGCTGCTGTCACTGAAATTATGTTTCTCTACATATTCCAACCACAAAATCTTGAACCCCTAGTGCAAATGCCCTTTCCCTTTGCTCTACCTATAGCTGAATTTAATGTGATTTAGACCTTCCTGTTTGTCTTCATTTTTTTGACATGATGATGCTGTGGCCATAAAATTAGCAGGACACCCATTCCTAATTTACCCCCAATAAATAAGCAAATTGAAATACCGGGTTTTGCATGGAGGCCACACAGCTAGCACAACTTCTGATTTCTAGTGTTGATTTTCCGACATGGATATGTGCAAGTCACTCCAGTGTCTTAGTTTCTTTTCTGTAAGGTGGTAGTAAAGGTACCCTTCACTACATAACTCAACAGAATTGCACTGCTATCAACAATGATTTGGTCCTGTAAAGGCCTGGCAAGTTTTATTCTAGCACTTCCTGTTGAATGTCAGTGGTTTGGCCTGGATCTTCCCCTCAGGATCCCCAAGATCCTGTTCTTCTGGCTTACTTGGCCTGAGCCTAAGCAGAGATAGAAAGAATTGTCTCAGGAACGTATTCCCACCATCTTTTGCAGTTGCCTCTTCCCTGTGTCAGGTTCCCTGCACTAGTCCCAGGTTTGCAAACCCCAGGAGCAGAAGACTGGAGAGATGCAGTAGGGTCTTCCTACCCTAAAGCCTCTAATGTAGTGAAGTACAAAACATTGCAACATAGGCTGGACATTTTTTGTCTTTCTACTCATGACATGGCTTTTCTTTCCTCAGAATGGCTGGGAGTGCTGAGTTACCTTAAGGCCAAAGGGCAGAGACAGGAGAATTGGAAACGACAGGGAACTTCTGCTGTTGGGGGTTTCAGCTTTACAGGGAATAGGTACTGCAATGCCACTAGCATTCCCACTTGAGGGGAGAAATAGGAGGGAACATTCTGAGTGATCCCTAAAGGTGGACTTCTACATCCTTGTGCTTGCAGATGCTGCACAGCACCTTTATTTTCTTTAAGCACAGCATTAATTAATTACATAACACCTAAGGTATGTTATGCCTCTGCCTAATTTAATTGTTGGAAATGCAGAAACCTCTCTTGCCACCTCATCTCCAATTAATGGCAAGGAGAAGAATGTTGTGCTCTGTCATGCCCGGGGACAGATTAAACAGACTGAGCTGAAGCTGTTCTCTTTAAGTCTTGTGAGTCAATAGAGGGAAGGGAAAATGTGTGATTTTGCTAATTAAAAATACAATAATAATCATAAATATTTGGTGTCTGCAGTGAGAACAGTTCAGAGCCCACCTGATATCTCCAGAGAACATTATTGTGTTCTCAGTGAATAAAATAAAGTAGACTCCCCTAGGGTCACCAGGGTGGTCAGCAGTCCTCGCATTACTTGCATTATTCAGGTTCAGACCAGTTCTGATTCTCAGAGAGAAAACAAAAGTTTGCCCTGATTAGAGATGAGGTCACTGATGGGACAAGGTGAGCTTGCTGTTTTATGCTTTGTAATTGATGAGAGAACTTTACCATTTTTTTTAAACACTGGTTACCATGGAGCAGTCAACTGAAAGCATCCTTATTTAAAACATTTGCTCTTGCATCCTTCAAAAAAACCCTGAGAAGAGACGTGCCCTTGGATTATTACAAGATTTATGTTTGTACAAAAATATCTGACCGGATTTGGGGAATTCAGACTGAGATGCAAACAGCCAGCAGTTGGCTGTGATCTTTTGCAGCGTTTTACTTTAAAAAGGTGTGGTCTTCTGATATCGCCTGCTACAAAACTCCACAGGGGGCATTTTTTTCCCCCCCTTGTCAGACAGCTACACCCTTCTGTGATGCAGTTTAGCTCGTAACCCATCTGCTTGTGGGCAGTGATGTAAACATACCAGCTGCCTCTGAAGAACCACTCTGAATCCTGCAGGAGGCAGGTCTCTTCCCCGAGCATCGCTCTCCTCTGCAGCATAAGTCACTGTCTCGCCAACCACGCTGTGCTGTCCCTAAACCCTCACATCTACCCATCTGAGAGTCAGATCAAGTAATCCTCTTACAGGTCAATGATTTTTGCAGTGTAGCTTCGTTTAAGGGATTTAAGCTCGATTCATAATGTGCTACCATTGCGTTGAAATGGAAAGGCTTGCTTAGAAGGGGCTTGGCTGGCACGAAAGCTTCTCGTTGTGTGTCCCACCAGCACAGAGAGACAGTGGGAAGGAGGAAACCTAGCAGCAGTGCCAGCGCTGCACTGAAAATGAAGGCTCTCCTGTTACTGGTCCTACCTTGGCTAAGTCCTGCAAACTACATAGACAATGTGGGCAACCTGCACTTCTTGTACTCCGAGCTGTGAGTACGCACAGTCGCGCTGGCATCGTGCTCTCTGTCTGTCTGTCTGACCCGAGTGGCGGGAAGGGGCTCGCCATGAGCGTGTCGGGGGGTCTGTCTGCCTGTGTGTCTGTGCCTGTGCATACATGTGAAGAAAATCCTGCAACCTCTTGCCAACAGCTTCACACCGTGCTGCTTCCCATCCAGAGGGCTAATAATAGCAGTACGTCCCCATTGCTTTCTGCCTTGGAAGCAGCTCAGACGTACTGAGTGAGGCTGCTTTCTCCCTTATCAACTTGTTTTTCTGTGCTGTTGTTTTACGTGTTTGTTGGTTTGGGGTTTATTTCCATTTCTGAGTCCGTGTTTTTCCTTTTTTCCTGTAAATAGCCTTCTGTGGATCTGGGTATGGGGAGGGCGTCAGAATAGACACCCCCAGTAGAGCACTGTCTGTGTACATGCATAATGTTCTGTGTGTAAAGCTGCATGCCTGTAGCAAAACGCTGAGAAGCCTTTCACCAGAAATAATTCACTTGAGACAGAAGAGAATTTTCCTGTATTTGTGTTTTTGCCCACAGCAGAATGTTATTTTTTCTGTAAAGCAAATTTAACTGTAGCAATCCATTCATATATCTTCATGCTTTTAAAAATCCCACCTCAAACGACCCCATAGCTGGTCTTTCCAACCCATAAAACAAATATTCTATGGTATCTTCTGTAAATGTTACTACTTTAATTTGTGCTTGACTGTTATTGTACTAGTTAGTGGAGCTTTTATGACTAGAAATAGCTATTTGCTTCACTATGTTTTCATTAATTATGTGTTGTTTGTATTTTAACAAATTGTCAACTTTCAAGATTTTCATTGAGATAATGAGTCAAATGTCTAATTCTCTCAAAAATAAAAAGTGACTGTATTATGCCTACAGTGCGAATATTTTAGTAACAGTTGTGAGTAGTACCAAAGAGACTAATTTTCAAATTATTTTGTCTACTGTCAGACAAAAATAGCAATGTTTTGCAGCAACACAAAGTCCCCTTTTGAAATCCTTGTGTGATGTGCATGGCAACTATTAATAATTTAGTCACACTGCGTACAACAGCTTAGGATTTCTGTGTGCTGTAGGTGTTTTTAAACATTTAACAAATCTAGTGTTGAGGGTTGCAGCTATGTCCTCATTTTAATTTACTGGCATTTTGTTTAAGAATGTTAATTTTGAAAAAAAACAAAACCAAACCAAAAAACCACAAACAACAAACTAAAAACAGGCTACAGGAGCAATCAAGCTCAAAACAGGGCAGATGAACACTTATAATGGAAACAATGGCATCTGGGGCATCTAGTTTCCAGGAAAACAAACCAATGAGATTAATCAGAGCACAGGCACAGATGCAGCCTACTTGCTTTTCTTGGGGAATTCAGGTTCACTGATTCTCCCAGGATAAAGGGCTATGATCTTTTCATCTCTTATTTATTTAGCCTTCTAACCCACAGAGATGTTAGTTGTGCTGAATGTCTGCAGTTGTTCTAATGGAGTGGGTGTGGACTGGGGCTTGGACGTGCATCTTCAGTTGTCAGCAATGGGAGGTGCACATCCCCTCTCCAGCACCCAGCCCTGGATGCTATCTGGCATCCTGCTGCCAGGAGCCAGTGCTCAGGGCCTCCCACACCACTCTGCCTCTGGCCAGGGCAGCAGAAAGTGGGATTTACTGGGACTGACACATTCCAAATGGGCACCAGGCAGTTTGACCTCCTTTCAGGAATTTCTTCTTCTCTTCCACGTGTATGTAGTGGAGGAGTTTTCTCATCATCTCTGGCTGCTGCTGGATGCTGTACAAGGTGTTGATGTACTAATCAGTGGGATGGATTCAAGGTCCTTTCTAATAACAGCAGTTGAAAGAAAAGGAGAAATACTGTTTTCAGTCCTGTTTAATCAGTTTATATGAGTATTATGACCTACAGGTTGCTTCTTCAGTTGGTAGGGCACTGCTCAGACATTTTTAATGCAGTTTTATGAGTGCAGAAAAAACACTGGTGTCCAGGACAGCCTGACACTCAGGGGCATGGGGTAATTTTTGCACCCCAAACAAGCAGCTTTGTAAATCTTTCCCTACAGCTGGCTGAAGAGTCCCTGCTGTGTGTAGTGTGTCTGATGGCTTGCACCATGGCTCAAAACTAGACCATAGTAGGCAGAAAGCATTTTTTTCATTATCACACTATCTTTGGTTGCTGATGAGTACAAATACTGGCCTCAGTCAGGACTCATTATTTTCTTGGCTGTCAGCCACCAGAAATACTATTTGAGGAGGAAGAGTGGGATGATGGGTTTGCTAGCAACAAGGAAAGAGCTGGAGGAGAGTGGGGGATGCAGTTACCATCACTGGTGCTGGCACAAGAGGAAGAATAAGATTCACACTGCCCTCTCTCTCACACAATCCATCTCTTTCCTTCTACTCTGTTCAAAGGTTATGTTATTTGTATTGCATTGCTGAGGTTTGCTTTAGTTCCAGGGCATTTTTGTTCCTAAACGTGGAATAGGCTACTTGGAGAATAGGGATTACAGCATAGCACAAAACCCATCTGGAGAGGCAGGCCCTGGAATCCAGCTAAGAAATAAAGACATTTTAGGAGATTTGAAGAGGAGAAATGAACTTGGGGAAAGGCTGTGCCAGACCTTTGCACTTCAGCTAGGTGCCACACAGTTGGAAAAGGGAGGTGTGTGGATGTGTTGTAGTGGCACTTTATGGAATAGATGTTAGGTGCCACTATTTTTAGTTTTCTGTTAGCAGTCTGATAATTACAGGTATTCACAGGAAGCAAATACATGTCCCCTGATGTTGTCACCTACACTAAAACCACTTCCCTAGCTATTGGCTGTTGTTCTTCCCTAAGCACAGATCTTGACACAGATGTTGTTCCTGTCCTTGCTCTTTGCCAAATCATGAAGAGCAGCATGTGGAAAGCCAGGGTTCTCCCTTTTGAGGAGAAGCCCATGGAAACATCTGACAGAAGAACAAGAGAAACCTATGAGATCTTTAGGGATCTCTGGGAGATGGGGGGATGTAGCCACACAATGTCTCGCACCATCGTAAGGGTATACTTGGGTGTTGAGGAAACCCTACCCCAGGATCCATGCCTTCTTCTTCATATACCTGTAAAGACTTGAAAAGGCATCTGTTCTCTTTCTTTCTTATTTAACATATCTTTAGAGAGGAAATACTTGCCCCAGCATTCTTTTGGTTTGAGGTATGTTATTCCCTCCAGTTAAAAACATGGTGTGTGCGTGGAGAGGCAGCCTGTGGTCACTCTTAGGAGACTTTCCTGACTGCGATGACCTGGTGACACTGCTCACACCATTGCTATCCCTCTCACTTCATAGGACAAGCTCTGCAGCAGGGTGTTTCTCAATAGCAGGACTTTCTGCACCTTTAGCTCAAAGGGCTGCTTAGAAATAAAACTGAGGGGAGGGAGGTTGCAGGACTGGGCAGTAAATAACCTCACCTTGTCTCCCTAAGGACATCAATGACGTGACAGCCTGGGGTGCTCCCCAGCCTTATCCCAGCTCAGCACGTGGCCGTGCTGGCCGGGCGAGTGCCCGGGTGGTGCTGGACATTGCGTGTGCCCAGCACAGGTCGAGCGCCGGGGAGTCCTTGGCAGCCACTCCTGCTGGCACTCCTTCCCTCCAAGGATTAAACAGCTCCTGGCCTTAGTCCCTGCTGGTAATACATCAGCTAGATCTACCCCACTAATCTGAATCAAGCCATTGTTTTTTAAAATCTTTTGTTTGTTAGGTGGAAATGCACAACCTACTCCCACGTGTGGAAAAAAGTACTTTTTTTCTTATTACCCTTCTTGAGTTTTGCATGAAACAGACAAAGGAATCTCACCAAATTAACTGGATCCAGTTTCCCCATATAACTTATACAATAACTACTCTCTTAAATTTGAAATCAGCACTTTGGGCTGGAATAACCAGTAAAATTTAGTTTCTCTGTTTATTCAATTTAAAAAGAAGAGATGCAGGTGCGAGCTGTCTTCTAGTGCCATTGAGCACATCTTTTTTATGGTAAAAACAGTGAGGTGCACTCTCCCAGCCCCCTTAGAGCACTGAACTCTGCAGCCAACTTCTTTATTTTCTGTTCAACTCAGTGGGGAAACTTGTGTCTGGCTTCAAGTCTATCCTTGTAAAATATCTTCCCCACAGAGAGGCTGGGGAACGCAGGACTTGCAATAGTCATGACAAAATTGATAAGCCCTGGAGCACCTTTTGGGCTCATGTGTTAGTCCACTGCAAAAGCCACAGGTTGGCCTCCTTATTCTGTGCAAAGCTGTGTTTATAGGAATCTGTGTCAAAGATAAACTGTGAGGTTAATTAAAGCTGAAAGTGCTGGAAATCAAGGCTTGAGCAGAAAAACTCTTGAATAACAATATAAATGAAATGTTTAGGATATCTACATTAAATAGCCAAGACAAAGCACACTGAGATAAAATTCAAATGGTCTTTTCCTCTGAATGATGGATGTTAGAATTGGAGGGCTCTTGGAAAGGAGAATTGAGGGGAATTAAAATAGAAAGGCCTGAGTGTGTCATGGGCTACCATTAGCTTCATCCCTATGCTACAGCTTCACAAAAGGGCCAGACATGGAGTTGGTTTTCCTTCAGAATTCTGAGCTCTCCCACAAAATCTCCAGCAATGACCTATTAGTGCACCTTTCTCAGCTTAGTCCCCCACTAAGTTAGTCTCACTCCTCTTCACCATCTCTCTCCCTTGCCCTTCTCTACTTCTGTCCTCTGCCTCATGCCTCTTCTGGTCTTTAGCTTTGTTTATTCCCCTCCTGTTTCATGGCTTGGTCCTGCCTCTATTGTGCTCCTTTGTACAAGTACAAAAAAACTTGTAATCTAAACTCTTAGTATTGAGGTGCCCAAACACAATTTTCTAAATATATTGTGTTGCATTCAAGAGTGTTTTATGTTAGTGTGGGGGTGCAGCAGAAAGCTGTCATTTAATTGACTGTAAATGTCT